TTGACGGATAAATCCAATTCATCATCTCGTGTAATATCACTTGCTGTGTTATTTGTTATTTTTGTTTCTGAATTATTATTATGCCATAAATTATTACTCGACTATAACAAAAAAAAAAGAAAGAACGAGATTATAAAAATCTTGTATCGACATTGAAACTACACTCCAGCTAAATAAGCTGTAAGGTCTGTTAATTTACTTGTGATACTGGACTTTCATATTTGTCATTGGTTATAATACTCGAAGGATATACGAATATTCTGGAGTTTTTAATTGATTTAACCGTAACTAGAGAGTTTTTCTTTTGTTTCTGATGATAAGGATGTATTGTCAAACTATCTGAGACCTATTTAATAAAAAAAACAAAGAAACTACAATAATAATAATAAATATTTTATCATTCTTACCAACGATACATGACGTTTAGTTCTGATAGTTTGTGATTTATTTTTCAATTGATTTCCATGCTAAATTAAATAATTAATAAAAAAATAAAACTATTCAGGAAAAAAATTTCACTTGATTATTATATGATCGACGAATATGATGATGTCGAGAAAGTTTTGTCACTTGTGGTTTCAATGATCGTAAATGATGAATACTATTTTGTTTATCTCTTGATCGTATATGTATTTGCTCCATCATAAATATACTTCACTTTCAAAAAATACAGTAGGAGAATAGCGAATGAAGTCTTTTTTTATAATGAAATATGAATTGTAAAAAAAAATTTTAAGAGAATTCATATCGGCATAATTTGGAAGAAGACATAGTATGTTAAGACTTTTTTTTATTATAAGATGAATTTCTCTACGTATGAAAAGAAAATTGAATTCCATTTTTCAATTTTCAATATATGTAATTTAAATTTTTCTACATTATATGATTATATTCAAAATAACTATAGACTACCTTTGATTATATAAAAAGAAAAGAAAAGGCAAGTAGTTATTTAACCCTTTTGGGAGGGGCGTGGTATACCTACAACCTGGAGTATATCTCAAATCAATCAAATACATAAGATATCAGTGTGAAAGATGTAATGTTGGATGGTGTTTAACTAATTGTTTTCAAGCTTATCATACCTTAAAGTAATTTTGATTGAATAAACATCTATTTTAACTCTAATAATAGGCTTTAATTTTTTCAAAAAAGAACCGTCTCAAAAGGGTTAAATGAAAGATAATCAATCCTGTATAAATTAGTTGTTAGTAAAGATCTGCAATTTTCATTCAGTTTGTATATATGTATAGAATAATGAGTCTCTTACTCTTAATTAACATATAAATCAAATTTGTATGTTTGAAAAGTACTTATTTATATGTAATGTCTCAAAATCTTTCATTCAAATAATTGCTGTACAAAGCAATATCATTTTTCAAACATTATATATCTTCTGAAAAATGTGTTCCATCTGTTCTTTTCATCATAAGCAGTCATTTTAAACGAATTATAAGTACTTTTTAAAACAATTATTTTCGTGTTTACACATTTATTACAAAATCTTATGTATAAAAAAAATCAAAACTGTAAAGTTAGATCAAACTACATTTTGTACTAAAGCTGACACAGTACTGTTCTCATTTTTCGTATTAATTGGCCGCATAGCAATGTCAGTAGAATCTGAAGTGTCAGTATCATCAACGGGTTCAACGGCGTTTGAAGATGGGCGTGCTTTGCAATAACAAATGGAGCTAACAATGATGGTAAGTAATACAGGAATACCGATACCCAAAGACAGACCGAGAATTAATGCCAAATCTGGTCCTTCAATGAAACATAAAAACAATTTAATATTCAATCAAACTATAAATTACTCATCTTTACCTGAGGCCGTAGTTTCTGGAATTGTAGTTGTATCTGCTGGCACTGGTGTTGTTGATACTGTTGTTATTGTTGTTGTTGTTCCTTCTAGTTCATTATGAACATCTAAACAATGTCAAAAAGTAATAACTTTTTACTTGCATTATGTATTTTCTTCACTCTACTCACATGAACAATTATAATCGTACAATTCGATATTATCCAATGCAAAATATACTGTTCGATTCTTTCCAACATCTTCTGTTCGATTTTCAGCTGTGACTTCAAAATTAAATTGCAACTATATAAATAGAAAAAGTTACATTTATTCTTGTTTTATGTTATTTAGACATCTTACCTTATATGAAGACAATGCTGATTTGAATGTTTTTTCTTTAAACTGCCATTTGTTGCCTTGCATATCAATAGCTGTGATAGTTCCAATGGAAAATGGAAGTTGATCTGGATCATTAGGTATTATTCGCAATTCAATTTGTTGACCCCAATCTTTTCCATCATAAACAGTAAAATAATAATAAAAACGAAGACATTGATCTCCAGATGCATCTCGAACCATAACATTAGGGATGAGTGAATCAGTAATTGTCTTCGACGTTTCTGATGGTTGAAGAGATACCAGACCATAGTAATCTATAATAAAATCATATAATCTGTAAATGTCCGACAGATCCTTAACAAAACTCGTCAACCTCAAAAGGAAATATTTCATCATACTATCTATATAGTAGTATATATACATAGATATAAATAGTATTAAAAATAAGTATTTCTTTTTGTCACTGCTATTGTTATGAATATCTGATGATAGAATGATATTTACCTATTATACACTCTGCTGTTTGTCCATTTGTTGTTGGACATTGATGGTTATAACAGAACCACATATCCCAATTAGTCGTAGTGGTAGTACCATCAACAACTTCTGATGGCTGATAAGGTAAGTCACATAAGTAACCATTGTTTGTTGGTTTAGCTGTAATATGAGAGAATATGTATGTATATATATATTGAGTGTAAAAATAAATGAGACTTACTAACTGATGTAGCACCAGAAACTGGTGCTCGGGGTGGATCAGAAGTAGCAATGGGTTTTGTTGGAATGAAATCAGTACCATCTGATACTACAAGGTCACTATTTCCAAAACATGGTGTAGCAAAATCACATTGAAATGTCGGTGCAAAAGGACGTTCAGTCGTTGTTGTTGTTGTTGGTAGTGGTGGTTGGGTTGTTGCTGCTTGAGTTGTTG